TACAGGTAAATGAAAAATGTAAAAACCAAAATATTCCTTTAGTGATAGTTAAAGTTTAGATAGGAATGAACTTGTCTTACAGTGTTTCACATTGCCACCTGCAGATGTCCCTGCTACCCAGCTGCCATCGTAAATCATGCAATTCCACTGACATTTTAAGTCTCCATCAAGAAAGTTAGGGGTCTGACAGCAGATGTATACTTTAGCAAAACAGGAACAGAAGTCCTCCATTTGCATCCTGACAGCCAGATGAGCAGATAGAGATAAAATAGGAAATAAACATTAAATATCAAGCAGTAAGACATAAACTCTTTGGTAATGCATCAAAATGATTGTGTGATTGTTTTGTTTGTTTTTGAGTTTTTAAAATGCTTTTTTAAAATATTGAGAGTAAACAGTGTGCAAAATTTCTAATTTACCAGAACTCTCCGTCGTCACGGTCGAAACACTTTTTTTTAACTTCTGGACTTACTTTGTCCCACAAATCTGACCTGAGAACACAAAACAAATAAGTTAATTACAGACTTTAATGCAGCAAAACAGATATATCTAATTTACAATTTCATTTGTCTTGAAGTTCTTAAGTTGTTCTTCTTTATAACAGAAAGCATCCTGTGGTCATCCACCAGTATTGTTCTCTGTGGATGTCTGGCCATTTTCATTTTGCACAGCACGCATATGTGTTTTCTCTCTCTCTCACTCTTTTTTTGATTGACCACTGATGTTGTTCCAACTATACTGTTTATCTCATGTTTAGAAATTCTTGAACTCCCTGCTGTGGTTTTGTAAAAACAGCTTTTAATTAAATAATAATAATAATAATGAGTTGATTATGTGTAGGTGCAACACTAGTAAAAATTGTGTCATTGTCAGCAATATATGGACATTGTTTGTTGTTTGATTAAGTCAAGTACTTGTCGCTCCATTTTCCGTTCCACTCCCGTCTGCCCCATGGGTTCATGACTCGCACCAGTCGTACTTTGGAGGCGTTTAATTCCACCTTCAGATGAAATAATAAAGTTGTTTTTTTTTAAAACGAAATTCTTCTTTATCATTATTACCAAGTATTCTTTAATTGACACTGTTACAATTTTGCTGCAATTAACCTCGTACCAAAAGCCCCTTTCCTAGATGGAATATACTTTTGAAACTCAAGAATTTACCTCAGTGATGCCTGTGACAGAATAGGCATGCCCCATCACCAATCCAGTGTTGGCCATTGCATCCTGGAAAAGACACGCAAGATAAATTACGTACTGAGGGTTCTTTGGTTTTGATTTTAATTATTGTTGTTTTGTTTTATTGTTTCTCTAGAAATTTATTTCTCACCTCTTTACACGAAGTCGAACAGCAAATCAGTGATTTGCACTTAGTGGCTCTGCTTAGTGTCAGCCAAAGCTCATCGCAACTCGGTGCGTTGGGCTCTGTGGGATAGTAAATCTGGTTCACACCTCCAGTGAAATCTTTGAAGGCATCTGATGATGACCAACCACGCATGTTTGCATATGAACCACAAAGTCTGAAGGAGACACACAGAGAAAGAAAAATATTTGTAAATCTTTTCTGAACCTTCTGAACTGATTTACGTGAAAGTGTGTGACGTGGTTCTGTACTTGGCATATGCCTTCTCCAGCAGAGGAGCCCAGAACTCATTTCCACATTTCGAGGACGCAAACAGTAACTGCTTGTTTTTCGTTGGCAGATTGTCATCAATGACAACATCTACCCACTTTCCAAACCACCAGAACTGAAACAGAGAAAACAGCTTAATAAGGATTAATAACCAGTGTGTTGTGTTTCTGTTTTGTAAAAGTATTCTTTAGACACATTTATTAATCCTTTGTTACCCGGAAGTGAAATATTCCTGCATAATCCTCAAAGGACTGATCCATTGGTACAACTTGTTCCATCAGATTTGTTTGAAAGGTCAGTGCAGATATTGCAGACACAAACCAGCAGTTACCTGATAAAAGAAGGAAACTAATAGTTTTCTCAAGCTGACGGAGTTAAATTATGGAACAGTCTAAAAGCAGAAATAAAAGAAAGTAACAACATAAACCAAAACTAATTTTAAACAAATATAAGAATGAAGAAAACGGGGTTAACACAGGACCGTAATTGAAGGAATGTTTTGGTTTGTTGGTTTCATTATTTGTGAATCTGCATATTTACATATTCTGTCTTTATTTATATGAAAGAAACTATATTGTGATTTTTTTGGTTTTGTTTTGTTTTGGTTTCATTTGTTTGTTTGTTTAATTTAAGACTAAAAGAAAATTAAATGAATGAGATGTAAAATTTGAGGGGGTTGGGCCAAATAAGTGTGTACGTCTATCTACTCCCTTTCAAAAAAAATGGAATGATATTATGTAATGATCGTGAACGTACATGTTTAAAATAAAAATGAACTGAACTGTGGAAGATAGT